TGTACTAGAATTAATTAATAAGGAATGAATTATTTTAGTAAGTTTTTAATATTTTGTATAATTTTTATTCTGCTACTATTAAGAAGTAATCAATGATTACGAATAATTTCTTTTTTATTTATTTCAACAAATATAATCCTCAGATCGATCCCAAGAATACAATATCTATTCTTAGAGTTATAAGTTGACTTGATTCTAGAAACTTCTAGTGCTTATTTAAACGAACATATTTTATGTTATTATTTTTAAACATTAATATGAGAACAACATTTAAAATTCAAAATAGCGCAGCTATACGTGAGCGCATAATTAATCGAATCTTCCGCTAGTAAATTGAGTTTACGCGGCGGTTCGGAGCTCGCAGCCCTCTGCTCAGCTTACACCAAATATTATTGCAGTGTATGCTAATATTGTATGCCATCTAAAATTTTATTTGACGTAAACAAAGATGTATATCGCCAACGGGGATTAATCATTATTTTCCTGTCTTCTAAAGAGTCGGCACATTATGTGTTATTCTTTAATATATATCAGCCGTCATATCTGAATTCTTATTTATCGTCTTAGCTTTTTGATATACGTCATCAGCTTACTACACGACCCCAATGAAGGGCCCGGAGTCTACCTTTTTTTTTAAGAGGGGGAATGCGTTACGCATACCGGGTGCCTCGGGGAAAGCCACTCCGGTTATGTGGGACTCTCTCCACATCCCTAAAGGGACAAGGAGCCTACCCACTAAACCCCCTCTGGTTCCCTCGACTCACTGTTTACCGGGGTGTGGGCACATGTGAATACTCTTCGCACACACCGGTCGGAGTCTACCCTAAGTTAGGTGACTAGGCCATAGTCAACCACGCTGGCCCAGTGCGGGTTGAGTGACTTCACACATTTAACTTCAAAAATATCTTTGAATTTCTACGCTGATATGTGCAAGTTGTATGACGATGTTATCCTTCATCGTAATCGGTGAAATGCACATATGAAATTTGAAATTCGAAAAAACACTTTAGTATATGGCGGGAATCGAACCTGGACGTATAGATTATGATCCAATCAAATTAGGTGGTACGCACGTACGCGTAGTTACGCAAGTAACGCTGTTTTTTGATAAACACTGAGAAGTAAAGTACAGTTTATAAATGGATTAGATATTATAATCGATTGAAGAAATCTTCTACGATATCGTGTATCGTGTAATACAGACAGAATCTTATATCTTTAAATGAGCAATTCTTGTATATGTATTTAATTGGAATCTCGGAATCGGCTCCACCGATTTTCATATTATAAAATTTAGTAGGGGTTTCGGGGGCGATCCAATCCATCTAGCTAGGAATCATTTTTAGAAAATGTCGTTTTATTCGTGTTTTATCGATAATCAACTTAAACATAAACTTAACTTTTTCCATCGGTAAGAACGAAAAATATTATTCATATTTCATCATTTTATTAGTAATTCGTAATTAAATATAATTTTCAAAAAACACAATAAAAAATAAAAAAACGGATCAAAGCTCGGTCATCCAGGTACTATATATTAAATATACTTAAGTTATTTTTGGTTTATATACTACCACAAAAGTTGTCAAAGTATTCGAGTTAAAATCAATTAGGCTATAACTTGAGGAAGTCGTTCACGCATAGTTTTGAAGGGATTAAGAAAGTTTTATTGGAAAACTTTTATCACTTTAGGCCGAGAGCTGAAGTACCGATCTTGTCGTGTAGTACCACTCATGGTACAATCATAATCAAGGAGTTACGAACTTTGATTTACTTACAACTTTAACAATCATTCTATTACGCAACAGTAAAAATATGTAACAAATAAGGAAGTAATTGTAAGGTCAGCAAAAATATTATATTGATTTTTTTTAAATCGGTGTTTATCCACGCCCATGGACATCTGCAACACAAAAGGAAGCGAAGAGACGTTGCAGACCTTTGTTTTGTAAATCTTTTTAATACTGTTATGTATTTTAATATGACAAAATATTTTGTAAATAAATGTTATTACAAGAAATCCGATAAAGAAATGTAGACAAAAATAGTCTATCGGTATTTTATATAAATAGAAAAGATTTGATTCTTTGTTAGTTTGCATTGATTTGTTCCGAAACTACTAAACATTTTTGAAAAATTCTTTCTTTGTTGGAAAGCTACGCTATTCTCGCTTGATAGGCTATATTTATTACTAGATTTATTTTACCCGTGCGGATAGAGTCGCGGACAAATTCTAGTTTCAAATTAAAGAAAAAAAACTTGTAAAAACAGTTGATCAAAATGTCGAATTTCTTGTTCTCAAACCATTGTAATTAAAAGGTTAATTAAAATCCATTTGTAAATGTAACGAATTCTGTAATATTAGTTAACTTAGTGTATATTAAAGTTTTCATAGAGCTGTGATTTAACTGTGTAAACTCCGCATCCATTTAACCGGCGCCGACAAACTTTGCGCTTGCGGTCTTGTGACAGTTAACTAATGTTGCAAGTTGTTCTGTCACAATTCACCTACAACTTGCTCACTAGTTGACCAAACTGAGATAATGTTCAATATTCATCAACAAAATATATCAATATTTAAACAGTTATTATCCACGAGTAATTGAAGATCACGAACTTCTAAGTAACTTACTCCGCTGGCGCATCGACCCAAAGTGGATCTTGGCCTCCGACACAAGAGGTCACCAAAGTCGCCTGTCTTGAGCCTTCTCTTGCCAGTCCATCGCTTGTAGCTCCTGGAGATCCAGCTCTACGGCGCCAGCGTACTTCTAAGTTAGATATGAGAATATTTAATTATTATACAATTTTCTATAAATAGTTTATGAATTAAAGTGAATGGTAATAAAGTCGGGATTTATTGTAAAATTAACTTTTACCTCTGACTTCGTCTGCGTAGAATTTGAAAAAGGTGTGAAAATTATCTCACGTGTTGGATATTATTAGTTAAAATCCTTTAGTGGGTATGAAGCGTCACAAATTCAGTGTCAGAATGAATAGTGAAGGGACATAAACGCCGACATTTTAGTTAGGCTAGTGTTGCGCCAGTACACCGGCACAGTGTCGGAATGTCTTCCTAACAAACTACATTCGATATCTGCGCCAAATATCAATAAGATTCGTTGAACCGTGATAGAGTTATCAGGAGAATATGTAAATCAAACATATTCCATTGAGACCGTACATATTTCCGGGATCAAAGGTAGCATTGTGTACATAACAATGTCAAATTTCATACTGATCCGTCGAACTGTTCTGGAGAATGTAATAAACATTCGCATTTATAATATACTAGCTATCGTTAGCGATTCTGACCGCGCGGAATTAAAAAAAAACTTAATAAGTAATCTATGTGTTCCTTTAGATTGTGTTCTACAACTGTGCGAAATTTCAGCGAGATCCATGCAGTCGTTCTGGAGATACACTGTAACAAACATCCATCCATCTAAACATTCGCATTTATAAAATAAATAAAATTAGTAAGTAAAATATAAATCATTATGTTACTATAATGGAATAGTGTACGACATTATCTAATATTTTGAGGTCTTTGCGATAATAACTTGATCATGTTAGCTAGAGCATATTAAGTTATTATTATAAAGATATTTAGTAGTGCCACGGAATTCACAGTACACTTGCTTGTTAATAACATTCTAGCGACACTCGATTACTAGTTACTGAATCGATCAAATCTAATTTATTATTGTTATTTTTTTTTAATTTAAATATTACCAGATTTTTATGTAAATTTACTAATATTTCTTTTACCATTCCAACTAAGCTCTAGGCTTGTACTAGGATATGGTTTACGACAATAGTCGAATGGCGGGATTCGAACATTCGACCTCGTGATCGGAAATCTGTACCCTTAGGCTATTGACGCTTCAATTATTCGATTTTTTTAGCGTTTGATTTAACGCGTTATTATTTCGTTGGTTGTCACTTTTTTGTTTAAGGTGAATGTAAGGGAGAGCGACATATTGCTTATATTATATGTTTTTAACTTTCTAAAGCTCTGCTGATAATTTTGTTTGTTACGATTAATCTATCCATTTGGTGATGGTGAAAAATAAACTAGCAGATAATATTTGTACTAATAAGTTATTTAATACAACTACTTTATATGTAGTACGTTAACTCTGAAGTTGCGGGTTTTTAAATTGAATAAGCATTATTTTTGTTCGCATCTACATCATAATAGTATTTAAAAATAATTAGTAATTACTGCTATGAGTTCAGTTCTATTTCAAATGTTTAATTCGTTTAAAGCGAGAACGATAAGTTTACAAAGTCGGTCAGAGATGCCATACAGTGCTCAGTCCAATGCGCAGTTTACACACACACACACTAATATGTCATTTTGCACATAATTATTTTCGTAGCATAATTCGTAGCTTTCGTAGCACAAGTTTGTAGAACAAATTTAGGCATCGTTTTAATTTTTGTAGACAATTTTATTAAAATAAAACTCTTTTATGTTCACATTATTTATTTAAATTTATGTTGACATTTATTAAAAAGAATGTAATATTTTTTTTTACATTACATCATGATACATATAAGTTTGGATACAAAATTAAATGCAAGTGTTCATTAAATTATTGATGTTTTTAAGGAAGTGTTTTAAAATAAAATATTTTCATATATATTCGGATTAATACATTGTAAAAAACCGTTCCTTAATCTAGAATATAATTAATTGTTCAATTATTTACATTTACGGATATACATAAAATTATTATTAATTTTTCTAATCCACATATGATTTTTTAAAACTACATTTTTCTATGCGTAATTAGGAAGCTTTTGTATTTTTTTTTACAGTACGTTATGAAATTTAAAGAAATAGCATACATAAACTACATCGCTTTATTATACAAAAATACATTTATTTAGCTTATAGTTGTATTGTTGTAAAAACAAATTAAAATTCTTAAAATGTTTTTCTGTTAAATGTGAAAATTTTTTGAAATATGTACACATTTAAAATGCTCTGTTGCCAAAATATTTAAGTAGAGTTATCTTTGGCTTAATTAGAATGATATAAGTAATATAACATTGAATATTTACAATTTTTACTGACACTGTGTGGTCTAAATAAAGTCGTTAGTGGTATTAAGTATACCACCAACGACTTTATTTAGACCACATGTTACTTTTTTAGGATAAGTGTTCACGACTAAAATGATATTTAAAAATACCAAGCTTGGTCCTTTCAAATGCATAAATTAAAATTAAAATCCTTAAAACATTGTGTTCAACGGAATTTGGATGACGGTGACGGTTATTTAAAACTTATACTACGCATTATGATTGGTTCATTTTAACCATAGAGATCGTGCGGGGTGGGGGCGGGGCGCGGGGCGCTCGGCTTACGTCATATCCATGTCCGCTCCACGTTGGGATTGGGATGCAGCGCGTCATTATGCCCGCAGTCGCCGTGCGAACCGGACGCGCCGCGCCTATGTCAGGCGCTGCTCAGCAACGTATTATTGTACGTGCTGTGCATGGAGATTCTGATAGTACCTGACATTGATAAAAAATAAGATTACATTTTTGCAACTTAAATATATCCATAGAAAAAAGTGTAATAGAGTCTGACGTGGTGACATGCTAAATATCAGAAGCTAAAATGTATTTTGTAAAACTTAAGTTTATTTTGTGTTCAAGAGCTTAAATATGAGTATGTATATTAGAGATGAGACATATTTAGATATTTAGAAAAGAAACTTATTGAGAAAACATTTTAAATATGAAGAAATTACCAACTGAAATGTTGGCGTCCGGAAGTCCCCTACTTGTGGATTTTATTTGCATGCAGCAAATGAGGAGTGCCGGGCGGGTTTTTGATGAATTTTGTTGTTTTGCTTGAAGCCTTGAATAAACCTACGGAGAAGAATATTCTAGTCTATGACATAGAAAGGGTACACAAATATGTTCAGTTAAAAGGCCACCAATTTCAAGGTAAAAACAAAACGAAAACAAAAGACTTTTGAGTAAATGATGTCATGAATGACTTTCAAAAAGAGCAATTTAAAAAGAATTTTAGTTTTGTGTTAGTAGGTCAATTTAATATTTCTATATTTGTAATAGGAAAATTAAGTACTTGTTCCATTTTTTCGACTCGGTGAAAGAGAACGAAGTGACCTATCCAAGTGATCCGGACCAAAAGCTCTGTGTCTGCTCAGACCACCATTGCCAAAAGCACCACAACACCAAAAGAACTGCTTAAATCCTCTACGGAATCTGTAAAAATAGGAAAGTTATGAAGATATACCTTAAAATTACCATATAACATGTATTCTAATTGAAGTCATATGACAAGAGCACAGTTGATGAAGAAAGACAGAACTTGTTGACGATAGACCTTTTTCTGTTTCCAGCCAGTTTGACTTTAAAAGTTTAAAAAAGAAAAAACTTACTTTGAATTCATCCAGCAGTAAATGATTGGATTATACATTGAGTTGCTCATAGCCAGCCAATAGATGCCCAGATATATCTCCTGAATGTGAGGGTAGTTGACAACTTCCGGATAGTACGACGTCACCAGGAAGTACACGTGAAATGGGAGCCAGCAGACAGCGAAAATTACAACGACGACTATCATCATTTTCACCACCTGTGGAATATTAGTTAGCTTTTATTCTCATCCTTCTACCAGCACAACTTTGCATGGATTTAATGGTGCATTTAAAGAGTAATTTTTAAGCAATGACCTATTCATTTATATAGATCAGGGACAAACGATATTAACTTTTCAATAAACTAAATATCTTTGACATTGTCCATGGTCCTGGTTACACTGTTGTGTAAATCAATTTTGTGTTGTGATTACTAGATTTATAACAATACCTAAATTCAATAGAATATTTCGTTGCTGCTCGGCTCTATCGTGTAAAAATAAAATGTAAGATGAAATTATAAAATCTTAATTTACCCTTCGCTTGCTCTTGACGTTGTCGAGTTGTCGCTGAGTACATTCCCCAATAGACTGAGACCCCCACAGCTCGACGCCGACCCGCGCATATGTGTACGTCATCGAAATAATTGGAAGAAAATATGTCAATACCATGAAGGCCACGTTATATCTGAAATTGCACAAAATATTAGAAAATTGTACAGTAATGAGAATGTAGCCGTATTCTTTTATATTTTTTAAATTATATAACACTACTCAAATAAGGTAGAAGGAATTTATAAATATTTTGCACTTAACATGTCTAAAAATTATAGGCAAAGAGCCAAAGTATTTAATCTCTTCAGTATCTTCCTAGTTGGTTTGTGGCCATTAGTAGTAAATTATCTTGCATTCCAAGTTGTTGTATATTTTAAAATTTAGTTTATTGTTTTTTTACGTATAATTTTTTAAGTATAGTTTAAAGATATGATTTAAAAGAAAAATAATGTCACGTTTTAGTTATTTGCTAATAATCAAAATAAATAAAATAAATATTAATCTGTGGTGCGTAATCGAAACATTAACTGCTTTTAACCTTTACATTAATCTTAGATACGGTCTAAGAAATGCGAATAAAAAAGATTACTAACACGTATTCCTGCAGGGATCTGGTTGTCATTCCGTCTGGCCATTCAGCGAAACACACGCGTCTAAAAATAAATCAAGATACATTTAATCTGTATTATTAAAATTGCCAAAGTTATTTTTTAATTGTTTATCTTCTCCTTATATATAAAATTCTCGTGTCACCATTTTCGTACCCATACTCCTCCTAAACGGCATGACCGATTCTCATTAACGAAACGGAGTCGCGGGCGACAGCTAGTAAAATTATAAAAGCGGATGTTTAAATAGACGTATGGATGGACGTTTGTTTGAAGGTATCTCCGAAACGGCTCAATAGATCTCGGTGAAATTTGGCATAGATATAGAACATAGTCTGGAAGGACATATAAGACTACTTATTAAGTTTTTTTTCTAATTCCACGCGGACGGAGCCGCGGGCGACAACTAGTATTATAATAATTTTTAAATATTATAATCATACCTTGTGCTACCATCTGGCAGTGTATCCATTTCCGTGGTAAAGAATACAATGTTGGGACTACTGAGTACAGAGCTGCCGGCCCATATCGCAGCAGCTATGCCCAGGGTCGCTCGCTTCCCCAGCCGAGGGCGCAGGGGACTCATAATTGCTACGTACCTAGAACAATCACATTATTACTAACATCGTTTACTTAACAGGAGCAAAGACTAACAACAAATGTAGTCGAACTGCCTCGAGGTGAAACGGCATTATAGACATTGGTTGAATAAGACAATCTTATTTTTTTTTATGCATCTTACTAATATTATAAATTCGTATATTTAGATGGATGGATGGATGTTTGAAGGTACCTTCGGAATGGCTTAATGGATATTGATGAAATTTGGCATGGATGTAGAACATAGTCTGGGAGAACACAAAGGCTACTTAGTAAGTTTTTTTTAATCACGCGCAAACAGAGTCACTTACGATAGCTATATAAATATTTAAACCCTCACCTGTCTATACTTATAGCCATTAACGTGAATACAGAAGCGGATATACTGACGACGGCAATAAATTGATTGAATTTGCAATAGAAGTGTCCGAATGGCCAGTCCGAGTACAACATGTACGTAAAGTTGAAGGTCACGTTCAGTGTTGACACCATAGCATCGGCGACTGACAGATTCACTACAAAAAATTTAAAACTTCCGTTAACTTTGTACATATTTGAAACGCACAATATTTGATTGATTATTCGCTTAATATAAACAATGAATTTAGCATGAATATTTGTGACAATCACCTATGTATCGTCATCATCAACTATGTCAAAATTAGTACGACATACTGTATTTTACACACGCTGCACACATGCAAATTTTGTCGATGATGAAAAGCTGGCGGTTATCATAAATATTCGTGCAAATAATATTAAATTTAATACCCAAGAAGTAGTTGGTAACGCTTCTCATTCGCTTGTTAGCGAGTACAATCCAGATGACGACGAGGTTGCCGACGGTGGCCACCACAACCATACCACCGAACAGCACCGTCCATAGTACTTGCCGCCACCATGGTAGTATAAACGATTGGTATACCTGCAGATAAAATGTCGCGGCATTTCAAGGAACATTCGAAGCTGTTTGTCTACAGAACAGGAAGTAAAGAGGATCGTATTATCATAATTTGGATTTGAAGGAATTGATTTTGTTTAATTGTAAAACGCATAATTTTTTATATTTATCTTAATATTTATTAATTATAATAAACATTTTCACAGTTATAATATTATTTTAGAGCTTTTCTGTTACGAGACGATTCAAGAAAGATAGAAGGATTACTATTTTACCTTACTGTTAGGAAGGAAATCCGGAAAACCGGTGTATGGGCGCAACACTAGCCTTACTAAAATATTGACTTTTATGTCCCTTCACTAATCAATCTTATACTTAGTAACGAAAGCGCCAAATTCTAACTAATAACGTCTAAAATGACTGACAAAAATTAATCACAAAATAACGATATGTTATAAAATCGTAGTATTTCATTAAAGTTATGTTAATTTTGGTGTTGTTTGTTTCATTAATTAACACACGTAATGATCGACAATATATACGTATTGCATCGAATTCGCATTTCCCTCTTCCAATCTATTTGTATACGTATTCCAGTTAATCAGTTTGTAATCAGCGGTTAATATTGGGCTTCTGGTATTCAATTTTAGCGACATTTCCGAGAAATAGATGATGTTATTATGTTGCAAGTCACGAACAAGTTTTATTACATCAAATACGTAATGTTTATTTAAATTAAACTTAATTTTATTCTTATATTATTATCGGGAATTTGATATAATTTAATCTATTGTCTGTTTTAATGATTTGGAAACATAAACAGTGATATGAAAAGTAATAAAACGTGTGGGCTTATGTTAATTTTATTACTAAGTAATATAAAATGTTAAATTATACAAAGTATCGTAATTTATTGTATCAAAAATATGTAGAATATTAACAAATGCATTAACTTTAAGGATAGGCTGAGTCAAATGGATTGAGTGAAGTTGTCATGATTATAAAGGGAGAGACGATGAGACAAAACTCTGTTGTTCTGGCACAAAAAGTGTTGGCAGAAAATTGTAAACGCGTTACATCTATCAAAAATAAAAATATAAAGAAATAATAACTTACCTCAGTGGAGTTTCCAGTTTGGTTAATGTAGTTGTCTTTAGCGACATCGTAGAATGTTACGTAGAAATTGTGGACATCACTAATGTATGGCGTGGATTCATTGGAGACGGCTGTTGGAGTCGGGTCGTCAAACATCATTCAAACCAACTGAGGACAAAAACCAATAATTTTTTTATCAGTTTACATCCTAACCATCATCCCAGATAATCTAGAGTAACACATATGCTGCCATTAAAATTTAGGATTTTAGTAAATCTGAAATGTATTTTTGACTACAAAGGAAATAAACATCGATCGATCACCAACCCGTTTGTCAAACGGTTTGGTAAATCTCACACAAATAAATCGAAAAAGATTCATGTTATTGAGAAATATTCAATATGTGTGAATACTATAATTTGAAGATCTGAAGTTTTAAATTTTTTGAATAATCATAGAAAATTTTCTGCTTTTTAAACTTTTTTTGGCGTTTTAAAAGAGAGATCTTTAGTACATTAAAATAGATGAGATAGAGCTTTAGTACATTAAAATAGATGTGTACACCATTTAAGACACATTTCTAGTTACAACAGAATATTTTAATTAATTACATTCCTTATAAACAATACAATATGCACATTATACAATGAATGTAACAAAATTAATTTTACAACCTCGAATCCGTGTCAAAATCAGTGCGTACTTTAAGATAATAGACGCCATAAGTTAAACTATACGCATAAATAGAAATGGGGTAATAGAATCCCAATAATGAAATTGGCAGGCGTGTCGGTTTCATGTCACCTGTGTGTTTACTGAAGTATTTAGACACGATCGATTCTCCCTGGGCTGTCGGTATGCCGCGTTCAGACCTCGTAAATGTTGATTGAGCCCCACAATTGGCTCTCGTGTCAACGTTGCGTCCCACTCATATGCCGCAATAAAATAGCTATCTCATTAATCGCAATTTGCTATCAGCCAATTGAACTTTTTATGTTACACGCAATTCATTTGTTTCGAATCGAATCAAACAATAGGAAAAGATTTCTGTTTTCATTTAAAAAGACAATGATGAAAATCATCTTTTAAAATTTATGCATAAAAACTTATAGGTTATTTAAAAGATTTTGTAACATTCCTAGTTTTTTTTTATTATAAGGTGGCAAATGAGAAAGCGGCCTGAATTCGCCGAAACAGCGAAGCATCCACTGCCCATAGTTACCTTCAATTGCTTATGCGTTGCTTATTTTAAATCGACAGCGGAGGAAACATACATATAGAGAATGCGTTCTATCTTCTGCCACATCCAATCTTTCTTACCAAGGGTTGGATAAATCTCTTTTCCAAAGATAAATATTAAGGTTTCTCTATCCTATAGAAACGTACAGAATTACGCAAACAGACTTTCTAATACAGATAGTAACTCATTCGGACCGACCGCAGTAAACTCGCTCAAACTACAATAATGACAGGCGTAATTAATCTCTATGGAGCAAAGCTTGTGGATACGTATTAGGTCCGTTAAACCCTCGTGTATGTGGAAGGATAATTTAATCCAATATCACTCTTACTTGTGCTAATAAATGTGATTGGTTTATTTGAAGAGGTTTATGATAGTACGTAGTTATCTATTTAAGTTATATATCTGTAAATTTAAATTGTAGCCGAGTTTTCATACGAACTGTCATTTGTAAAAGAATTTGTTAAGATATAGTACTAAAAATAATTTGACTATCCTACTAATATTATAAATGCGAATGTTTAAATGGATGGATGTTTGTTTGAAGGTATCTCCAGCACGGCTGAACTGATCTCAATGAAATTTGCCATGGAATATATTAGAACATAATGTAGACCAATACGTAGGCTACTTATTGAGTTTTTTTTTTATATCTGCGAGGACGGAGTCGCGGGCGAAAGCTTTTATCTTACAATTCTTTTCATTCTCCTATCTCATTGTTTCATGTAACATGTTTAAAAACTGCCTGACTGTATGTTTCTTGATGACATTCAGGAACAAAACACGATGACTAGAGCAATTTGGTAATTAAAAAAAACTTTAAATTACCTTATTACGAAAAAGTATTCGTTATTATAACCCAAGTATTAAATCAAGTTTATAAAGGGGCCGTATCAGTTTTGAATGCGCTTTATAAAAGTACTGCATAGTTTCCAACATTGAATACTTCAGGCAAGTTTGAACAGTTTCAGTTTTACTTTGAAAATGAGAACTAGAAAGTTGCTCAAATGGCTATTCGTTAACTGAAGGAAGCAAGTTTAAATACAGGTTATATTATTTGATATTTAAACTTTGTAACGACATTATTTTGAATTGCATAGTTGTCAACTGTACTGCAAGTATAAAGTTGTTATGAAAAATCTAACGTGCGTGACTTACATAACGCGATGACACAATGAAACCGTCGGATTCCGAGACCTAAATGTCTGTATACAACATATCGTCATCCCTCTCATTATCTTAAAAAAAAACAGGGATAAAAATATGTTTTAAACGGAGATTTTGGACTCAGAAAGCCATGGTTATGCAATCGATTTTAAATGAGAAGTTTTGTTCAATTTAAATGAGCGCTATAAATAGATTAAATGACGTTATGAAGTAAGACATTCCGATAGAACGGCGCCGACGAGATGCCAACTTTGTAATGGAATCAAAGGAATTTAATAAGTAAGGAAAATTCTTTCTTAATAATTCTGAATAGCTACTAATCAGCTTATAACTTAAAACATATATTACAATGTGTACCCGATGGGAAGAAAATAAAATAAAAATAAAAAAAAAATCTTTATAAACATGCCAAGGATGTGAGTTACTTACGTTATTACGTTTTTACAGTTTAATACTATATGCAATCCTTTTCTAGTTGTCACTTGTTTTGTAAAATACTAATAGTTGCCCGTGACTTCTTCCGTGAAAGTATATAGTAATAAATATAACCTACGTTACCTAGGGATAGTGGGGCTTCCAACAGTGAAAGAATTTTTCAAATCGATACAATTATTTTGGAGCATATTTATCTTACTACAATTACATACGCGTATGTTTGGACGGATGGATGGTCGAATAGATATTTGTTAGAAGGTTATTTGGCATAGATATAGAACATAATCTGCTACTAAAAAAATCTTTAACTCCATGCTGACGGAGTCGCGGGCGACAGTAAGTATAATCGCGAATCCTATTTTATCGCTTACAGTGAAATTATTTCAAATATAATAATTGGAATATATACATTCGAATAAAGGAGTTATTGAATCTTAATATGTTGCCACTATCTCGCTCGGAGAGAAGCAAATAATGAATATTTAACAAACCCACCTTACGCATTATACTAAGTGTATTTACTTAACACATCAAATAAACGTTGTGTGTTCAGCATATAACTGGGTGCAATTGAAGCTTGAGCGTCGGTGGCTCTGGGGTTCGGTACTTGACTTCCAATCTGCAGGTCCTGGGTTCGAATCCCGCCATGTAACAGTGTTTTTCGATTTCCGATTTACATATGTACATTTATCCGACGTTCTTACGATGAAGGAAAACATCGTGATGCAACCTGCACATATCTGAGAAGAAATTCAAAGATATGTGTGAAGTCAACCAAACCTCACTTGGCCAGCGTGGTTGACTATGGCCTAATCTCCCTTAACTTAGGGTAGGCTCCGAGCCCCTCGGTGGGGACGTATAATGAACAGATGATGATGATGGTGAATTGAAGCTATAATTTAGTCGAACTTATTTATTTCTATTGCTAAATTACAAACAGGATGTATAAAAATCATTTCATTTGACGGCAATTTAAAGAAATACTAGCTGTCGCCCGTGACTCAGTCTGCCCGGAATTAAAATATAACTTAATTCTATACCGAATTTCAGAGAGATCCGTACAGCCATATACTATTAGTAAGATAAAATCAACAATGTAACACAAAGAAGTGTATTTAAATATTGCTAAAAAATAGTGACTCTCGCTAATCCAGGTTCGACTGTATCTTATTAAAATAACATCTCAAATAAAATTTTATTAAGCTGTAATATACACGAGTATAAGTCTTAAAATAATATTAAAGTTTTACTATTATATATCAAAGTACAAGTTAAGTTAAGTTAAAAGAAACTAAGATCATCAATCAATTTCCGGCAATAAAATCCGTCTTTGTTGTCGCCTAAGCAATTAAGTTACAACAAGTTATAATATAAGTATGAAAAACTTATGCTACCAACCAAAATAGATACATCATTTAAGAGATGTCAAAAATGTAACTCTTTTTTTATATTAGAAGGGGACAAACGAACAACGAATCGCCTAAAATTGTTTGAGCCGACACCCATGGAACGCAACGCCACAGGACCACAGATTTCAAGGGATGAGTCTTACCTTTCAGTAAGTTAATTTTTACACGCTCTTACGAAAGCTTTTGGTAATTTCGCTTTAAATAAAAATTGGACTGATGTAGTCTATAATATATATAATTAATAGAACACAAAGTATTAGTAAATTAAAACATTTTCATAATTATTTACTATTTAGTATCTTTATTATGCAGTTGTGCGGATATTTGATAATAACACAATACTGTTGTAACAACTTCCTTTATTCATCTATATCAATAACGATTACCTTGAATTTGTTGACTTTAATACGATACTGGCAGTCATCCGCAACTCTGTCCGCGCAGAATAAAAAAAACTTAACCAGTAGCGTATACGTCAGAACATCTATGCCAAACGTCAGCGAGATCTATGCAGTCGATCAGAGATACCTTCTAACAAATATCCATCCATTAGCATCCAAATGAAACTAAGGTAAAATAGCTCACTCACGTCTCCCCTCCCCTAACCGGTGCATTCCTTTTGAGATCCCGAGACTATGCCCTCTCGAGGATAGCCATCTAGAATTATTGTGATTTAAGTCTCAAATAACCCTCTTTTCCCCTATACGGTAACCTGCTTAAAATCTGAAAAGATCTTTTAAGATTACCCCTATAGCAAACAAGCGCTCACTTTTTAAAGTTTAAGATTAATTTTTGCCGCAAAGTGTAATATAGTGGACAGCAACTGCTCTATCTACTCTAATAGCACACACAAGTGCGCAATTCGACAAATAGAAATATTAATCTCATAATCCAACAAGCGATACTTTCATACGAGCCGCACAGTTTTGTACAAACATTAGCTACAAAGCGATATTAAATCAATCAATTAAGATATCGCGTTGCGTCAACTGCGTATTGTTTTAATGATATCACGCTTTTAATGATAATTAATTTAATTATGACCATCATTATTTTATGTTGCAATGATTCAATTGTAAGTCACAATTTAATGATAAAAGCTATTGAAAGAATTTAAGTTTTCTACAACTATTTTTATGAACAAAATTTTAAAATTTTTTTGTACATTTAACAACGATTAGTTCTAACATTTTACTAATGTTTGTAAGTGGAAACTCCCTTACTAAGTACAAGAGTACAAACTAGAACAAATTGTGTCTGCAATTCTGATACGATTTTAATAACATAAAAAATTAATTTAGAATTATATAAAATTCAATTAAAAGAATATTGTATTATAGTAATATTTCTTAACTAGCTATCGCCCGTGACTCCGTGCGTGCGGAATAAAAAAAGGCTTAATAAGTAACTATGTAAGTAAGTTCTTCCAGACTATGTCCTACATCTGTGCCAAGTGTCATCAAGATCCGTAGAGCCGTTCCAGAGATACCTTCTAACACATCCATCTATTCCCATTTATAATATTAATAAGAAGAAATATAGTTATATGCGATCTTATTATTTATTAATTTGGCACAGAAAAGAATTAGTGTTATAGTCATAACAATAATTGCATTTCGTGACGTCTTCAATGGAATGTAATGAAACGAATAACCGATATCGTGTTCGGAATTTTAATATATTGCTCAGTTTATCAACTATTCTAATAAAGAGAAGTGACTATAGAAAATAATTATTTAGTTTAACAACTATCTCTACGGTGGTTTAACTTTCTGACCCGTTTAAATAACCTAGAAGAAGTTATAATTTTTTTTGGGCTCTTAAATTAAATCTTTTATCAATCGTAATGAAAATAATGTTAAGTTTATATAAAGGTTAATTATAGAGCTGTCAAACGTAAAACTATTTTATATACCCTTTTTTGAAGTCCAAAGAATAGCCTTCTAAACGATAAAGCGTTCGAACGAAACGAAACGAAAAATCACAAATAGTTTTAAGAAAAGCAATTGACAGATATGAGAAATACATTAATCCGAATTCATTCATCATCAGCTCACTATACGTCGCCATTGAGGGGCTCGAAGCCTACCCAAAGTCACCGATGACTAGGCCATAGTCATGAATCCGAATGCCGGTTGAAATTGATTATTAGTATTCTTCGATTTCATTTATCAGTGGAACGCGGGCTTAAATAAATAAGTCAAGCCAAAGTTCCTTATACAGACGTATACACAGGCCATAATATTGGCGATAGGCCAAACTGTACAGAAGTTTGTCTTGATAAACATAATTGTTGTACAAAATAGAGCACTCGTAATTATTTATTTCATGATAGTGGGATCTTTATTATCAAATAAACTCGTATAAAAAGTAACAAATACAAAGATGGATATCGTTAATTATAATCATACATTTTTTAAATTAGGTATATTAGTTTTAGAGTTAATGCTCTGCAAAGCAATATCTGGTTTCTCTAATGCTTATATTATTTTTATAAATAATACATATTTAAAAATAGAATAAAAAATACAAAATAATTAAAAGTAAGTTAACTTACCAAACTTTGTAGTTAAGGATTAATAACAAATGAATGCTTTTAATCCACCATTTTAAAAATATAAAATATTTAAAACTCGTTTTGTAATATTAACTAAAAAAATTACGATTATCATTAACAAGCTTTTAAAGTTACACTTTTTATAAAGATAACATTATTTTCCTATACAATTATTTTGTAAATTACATACAAACATTTGTATTTATAACGAATTAAGATAAAATGTTTGCTTGCTTTTATTAACGAGGAATACGCGTTCGCATCACAGCATCGGCAGAGTACCGTAAATGGTGAATGCCAACTACGAACTGACGACTTACAGAGAGCAAATTCAACAACATAGAACAAATAATATCTACAAAATATGATTACTGTTTATTTTATTGATATTAAATAAAAGTTTTCGTTCATTTTAATATATTATAATAAATGCGAATGTTTGGATGGTTGGATAGATATTTGTTTGAAGGTATCTCCAGAACGGCTCCATGGATCTTGCTGAAATTTGGCATACATGTAGAGCATAGCCTGGAAGAATATATAGACTGCTTATTTTTTTTTAATTCGCCGACAGCTAGTTCATAGTTTTAAAAATATTGTTGGAAAGACTGTGCTAAGTTGAAATGTGTAATCTCTCCACCTTTTGAGTTACAAAATATGTAAAACAAAGCCATCTACCAACGATAGTCTTGAGGAAATAAACTAGTGATTGTTTAAATATTTAAACAAGTCTAACTGTGGTTTTCTGGGACTAAACTACTCTACAACACTACTCCTGCATACATCTCTATCAGCCGTCATATCCGAATCTGCCCCCTTCCTACGCATATTCTCTTTTACACAGTAATTCCTTACTTTTTTGGTCTTTCTCTATTACTTTTTTGCTTATATCGTCATCCCTCCGCATAACATGTCCAAACCACGCTAATCTTTTACTCCTCAATTTCTCGATCACTGGCGCTACTTTCAAATTTATGTACACATTTATTTATATATCCTGTCAGGCAAAAATAATCTTTTTTGATTTGAATAACATACAAATATCAACATTTTTCTATTTTTATGATCTTCATTTTTCACTCCACCGCTTTACCCTCTCGTTTCATCCAGTACGAAGTCGACCAGCGGAGCCTTAATGCCCGCACTGTTATCGTAAAATTGCACGCCTCCTTATAAATAATACGTAAGAATTTGTAACGTTCCCTTATTTTTGTTATATTTTGTAATAAAAATAGATTTTTGTTTACCTTTCGAGAAACAAATATTGTTGAATATAAATAGGCATTCAAATATTTTATTCAACATTTCTGAAAACAAAGTACTTTTATTTGTTGTAAAAATAAATAAAAAAAAACTATTTAATATCCAATAGTTATTAAATAACTACTAAATTGACGACAGATATTATTTCTAATTTTTTTTTTCAAAGTTAAAACATTTAGAAGAGTAAGCGAAGTCACGGGAACAAGATGCTTTTACGATATTCTCTTAGCACTTCCAATCTGATAGTGTCCAGGACTGACATGTTTTATGACCTTCTAAGTGAAAACGTAAGTTTGATATTATACATGAAAATGTAAGAAAGTTGAGTCGAAGTTCTCGACATAAATGGCTTCTATAACTCAAATTTCCATTGAATTATATAAGTAAATAAAATATAATGACGTCACATAGAAAATCTTTTGTATGCTCCAAAGATTTCGTATCGCCATGTTGTGAAATTCACAATAACATAAAAATAAAATAAACAACTTTTGTCTTTGTTCTACACAGTTTGGGACAATGTCAGCGATACTAGTTTAGACTTGTCTTCCACATCTATATAAACACCAGTATTTTTAACACAAGCTTTCGCACGCAAATCTATCCACGAATTAAAAAAAGTAATTAGTAGCTTCTATGCTCTTCCAGACTACGATCTACAACGATACCAAATTAGCGGGATCTGTTGAGCTGTTCCGGAGATACCTTCTAACAATCATCCATCCATCTAAACATTCGCATTTATAATATTTGTAAGATTTAATATAAATACAATATAGTAGTAATATGTAATGTCCTTAAATAGTTTTGTAATATACAGTAAGACGTATCGTATTTACAACGTAAACATTGTATATTTACGTTTTGTCTGAACGTTTGGGCCAGTGCCAGATACAGATAGGTTACAAGGAAATGTTGTTACATATTTTATTAAAATTAAAACTTTTCGCTTTTATGATGGAACTCAGAAACTTCTAAACTTAGCTATTAAATAATTTTACTTTTAAAACTCTTTTATACTAAGTCGTTTGTTAATCTGGAATTATTTTACTTATCTGTTTGTTTTATGTTTGGTAGGTTGTGTTCATTCTATACTTTTGACGAAGTCCATTACTTGTTAATATTTAATTTTAGACATTATTAATTACAATTCCCTGGCACGAATGACGTGATTTCGTTACAAAGGTTAGTGTCAGAGTGTGAGAGGACACAAACGTCGACCTTTTAGTAAGGCTAGTGATGAGTCCATACACTGGCTTATTTCCGGATTTTATACCTAACAGTAACATCATTATTGATTAATATTTTCAATATTACGTTATACTTAACTTTCAAACACTAACTGATATGTTAAAAATATTAAGTTACATGTTGAATATTACTAACGTAAAGAATGATGTCAATTGCTCCATTTGTGCATAACCTAACCTCAAAATTGACCTTATGCGAATTGTATTATATCAAAAGAATAGGCACGAACACTGTCTAAAAACAGAATGTTATCAGATCGCGAAGCCTAAATATAACAAATAAATTGCCGCACGTGTGCGTCGTAACAACGTTACAAATATTTCAACGGATTTTTAGATAAATGTTTATTTTATCACATTCAATTTTTAGTGTAATGTAAGAAAGCGTGTTTTTGTGTATTAGTAGGCTAAGATTTTATCTGAACATACATTTTTATGTAAAAAATACAATGTTAAAATAATACTTTGCGCATTTTAGGTCCTAAAATTATGAGAACATTTTTATGTCCTGGTTAAGTGTTATATCGGCAGTCAATAATCGATAGATGGCGCTGACAAAATAATAATAGTCCTCAAAATGTCGGAAAGTATAACTTGACTAGAATAACTTAAACTTCTAGACAGTTCTGTTACCTACAAGAAGTATAATAGATAACAGTGCGCTTTAAAGTTAAGACTGAAACCTAGAGATATCAGAATTTGAGTTATTTTAACTATTGTATAGATTATATCAAATAAATCGGAAATGCAATTTGGTTCTAACGAATAGTAGAAATTCTACCTTGTTCGTCTTATATATGCAATTTGGATTTTCCTTTTTATTTGACTTATGTACTTTTGTCATGATCATGTACAATTTTCGTTCGTGACCTAGTAATCTAGAAAAGAAAAATTAAAAGAAAAAGTAATTTAAAAAAAAAGAATAAATTCACCCCGGAATCAATAACAAACGTCATCACATACTAACGCCTACGATACGCTGGCATCGTATGTACGGGTATTAGTACAAACAATCGACTACTGTTTATCTTAAAGAAAAATATTACAAACCACGTAAGTATAGTGTGAGGTAACTACACTCATTGCAAAATACTTCCCTATGTTATCAGAGAATTAAAGTCAAAGCTGGTAAAAAATGCTGTTCTTAATGAACGGATTTCAATCGGATAGGACGTATTGTTGAGTGCAGAATTAACATTCTGCCAAATACGTGAAATGTTCCCTAGAACCTTAGCCTATTCAGTTATCATCATCATCATCATCATCAGCTCATTATACGTCCCCACCGAGGGGCTCGTAGCCTAACCTAAGTTAAGGGTGATTAGGCCATAGTTAACCACGCTGGCCAAGTGCGGGTTGGTTGACTTCACACATATCTTTGAACTACTTCTCAGATATGTGCAGGTTGCATCACGATGTTTTCCTTCACCGTAAGAACGTCGGATAAATGTACATATGTAAATCGGAAATCAAAAAAACACATTGGTAATTGGCGGGATTCGAACCCAGGACCTGCAGATTGCAAGTCAAGTGCTTGACCACTGAGTAGTACAAGTAGTACTACGTGTGTAGTATTGTACTTCTTCTTTTTGACGTAGAGTATATTTTTAAAAAACATTTAAAGTAAACATTTTTTAATTAAAAAATGCTTTTGCTGTTTTTCTTTAAGGTTAAGTATAACTTGACACTTTTTAGCATCGTAGTTTACCTTTACTATGTAGAGTTCGCGTTTCATTATTACATGAAAGTAAATACGTCTCTCGTTTTAATCTTCACTGAAAGGAATGAAGCAAGTAATGAGAGTCACGGCCTCCGGAAGCAAGAATCTTACGGTCTAAAAATTATGAACAATTCGTTAGTCAAAACGTTGTCTTGTTTCCACTATTGTTTCATTTGAGATTGTTGAAATGCTTTTATTGCATTTGAAAATCGATATTTTTTAACAACTGCCTAATTTTAGTCCCTCCCCATCCTTATAATGGAAAGGATGAGAATTTGCAGTGGTTTTGATGGAGAGGAAGTATAGAATAGAGAAATATTCTTTGTCTCCTCTTTCGTTGATTGTCGGCAAAGCATCTGCAATTGCGGATGTCTATGGATAACGGTTGCTTCTTTTGCCATCTTATAATTAAAAAAACAACTTATCGATAATACAGTAATTGTGATGTACTTAGCTTTTATGTGACTCCTAGTAATTGGAATACTAATCGCATATTAACCTTTCGAAATAGGTCAAGGTTAAGACACAGGTAACAGTTATATGTATACCTAGATACCTTCAAGTAACATTACCTTCTTGCTCCTCTTCATTAACAAAACACAATATGAGTAGCTTGCATGTATTTTATGAGTAACTAGCTGTCGCCCGCGACTCTGTCCGCGGAGATAAAAAAAATAATTAGTTGCCCCTGTGTAGGCTAGTTAAGTTTTTTTTTAGCCTATGCGGACAGAGACAGAGTTGCAGGTGACCGCTAGTTTGTCATAAACGCGAGCTGTTCCCATTCAAATATAGTCAAGGTCATGAGATAGATCCGGGGGTCACCGTGAAAAGAAAGCAAAAAATATTCGAAAAAATATTTACAAAATCAAAAAAAAACGTAAACTTCTTTACAGATACATTTTTATTGGACAAGATTATACTTTT